TTGAATGAATCTTAAATAAGCCACATGCTTCAGCACACCTTGGAAAGGAGATTTATGTAACTGTTGAAGTATACATTGTGATTGTTGTCATTGATAAAGTCTCAGGATTTTAAAAGAATCAAAATATTTTATTGTGACCAGTGATTGTCTAAGACGTCTAACGTTTATCTGTTGATTTTGATAATGGCATAAAATCTTAATTCTGTTTGATAATTGGTTACAATACTTTCAGTCTATTCCGATTATTTATATTTTAATAAAGCTGGCAGGAATTAAATTGACACCATGGCCTCCATATGTAATTTTGATTAGAGCAGGAGGGAAGGTAACAAGAGAGAGTAGGTTTAGATGCTTTCCTTTTGCTTGATAGAGAATATTTTAGTGCAAGTCTATATATCTGCCCCAGCCAAATCAACACTTGCTAAAAATGGAAACCAATCAAATTCCCTAAAACAGCATTTATTTTATAGTGTTGGCAGGGGGCAGGGGGTGGGGAAAGAATTAGCATTGCCAACATAGGATGCTAATTATGATTTTAGCCTCAAGCATAGATGCTAGGTATTCCAAAAAGATGCAATGCATTATGAAGCATAACATTTTAAGTTCCGTAATAAAAGGTAGAACATAAATGAAATTACTCTATCTTCGATTCTAATATGCCAAACAGTTACCTTTGAAATCTAGCTCTGATGTGAAACATGTTTAATTTGGATTTTGTGGGCAAGGTCTTTTGTTAGGAATCTTGCCTCTCTAAGAGAACAGTGTTGAGCATCACAGTCTAAAGCTAGCACTTAATGAACGTCATTTATATAGAGAGGGTAAGGCTAATGATGTTGTGTCTTCTATATCTGGCTCTCCAGTTGTTTCCTACAGGGAACCCATGCTAAAACAATCCCATTTGGAATGCACTGAGATCAAACCCACAAGTGTGGTATATATTATGTCTTTTCACAAGTCCACTCTTCAGTGGACCAGCCAGTTCCTTTCGCCAGTGGCTCACCTTGAGACAAGGTCACAGAGACAGCTTGGTGGAGCAATGCTAACTTCATGCAGAGCTGTTTCAGGTGTGAAACGGAAGAAGCTGTTGCTCTTAGCAGCTCCGTGCTCCCTGAACTCTTAAGGATTGTGTATACACCCCACATCAGCCGCAAGACCGATGGCAGCTCTATACACCCCCAAGGTGCTCATGTGGAGGTGCCAATACAGGTGTCCAGGTGTTGTAAAGCTTGGAGCAAGGCTGAGGATGGGTTGGCATCTGTGAAACCTCCAGTTTGTTGTACACACTCCATACAAAGTTCATAGGCCGTATTCACCCAACAGTAACCCTGTCTCATCATGAGATTTCTTGATGCTGCCCTTTTGTAGTCACATCATGGTGCATATCTGCACAGCCATCTGTCCTGTGACAGGATTGAACTGCCCCATATTGGCAGAAGCAGGCTTTGACTAGACCCAGGGTGGGTGACCTTGGCCTTCCAGATGTTTTGGCCTGCAGCTCTTCTCACCTCTCACCTTTGTCTGTGCTTCCTAGGCATGATGGGAGCTGTAGGGTAGAAGGTGGGGAAACACCCCTGGAATGTATCACTCTAAACTGAAGGTGGGGGCAGTATGAATAAATGTTCCTGATGAAGGATAGGGAATCTCTACACATAGAAAATTATAATGTATCTGGAGGATTAGTTTAGAAATCTTCTCCATGGTTATTCATTTTCTATGTACAGGCAGTACATACAAAATGCAAAACTGAAATAGTTTTCAGGGGAAATGTTCAGCCATGCAGCCCTCCACACACAGACCGAAATGGCACATTCCAGAAGCAGTTTTGCCCCCCAGATGTGCTGCAGTTCAGAACACACTGGCAGCACTGGGATGGGACCCAGAACGGAGGGCTGTGGACTCCCTTCCCCAGCAGGTGGCTGCATGCGAGCGAGCGCAGCACACCTTCAGGCAGGCAGGGCCCTTCCTGAGGAGCTGCCCGGTCCGAAGGCCAGCAGGTCTGTGGGCTGTTCTTAGGGACAGGGACAGGCACTGATGCCTGGGCAATGAGCTGCCCCTCGTGCTTGATGGAGCAGGCAAGGCGAGAAGCTCGATTTGACTGCCTCTGCATTGAAAACCCAGTGCTTCATTTTTGGGAACGGGACTCATATTACGCACTGATCCCATTCTTAAGACCAGTTTCTACAGCCCACCCACAGCACAAATGCTCATGATACTCCAGCCATACACAAAGCCAAGCTTACTATTGTACCCCATATAAAGAGACATGTATAAGATTCCAGTGGCTAAAACACATGCACACATGCAAAATAGTTCATTTAATCTGGAATAACTGAGAAGAGTCTGAACAATGAAGAGGAAAGCATAGTTCAGATATATGATTCCTGTTCCTTGAGGATTTGCCTTGCACAGAGGAAAGAAGCCCTTCAAACTCTTTGCCCCTTACTCTGACTTTCTTATGAAAGCGTCATAATTGACAAGGCACCATGGCTCATAATTGGAAAAGTCACGAAATATCTGAGCAGAACTGGCAAATGAAGACCTCCAGCCAATTTGTCAGCTTGCAGTCTACATGGGGAAATTTGAATGCTACAGTCTGACTATCAAAAGCATAAAAAGCTTGATGCAGCCTGTTAAAACTGCAAAGCTATTTATTTAATTATTCTGGGTGCTGTAGAATGTGAAACTGGAAGAGAGCAGATTTTTCTTTTTTTAAAAAAAGTACTGGTGTATTTGTATTAATCAAATCGATCTTGGCCCAGAGGAGTAGAGGGAACGGGGCATCATCTGTCAAAACAGACAGAAGCCAACTGATTGGTGGATGAGAGTGTTTTGAGTGCCGCAATTTGAAACCCAAGGTTAGGCTGGACTGTGCTGAAGATCTTATGCCTAGAGGGAGAGAAAACTTGCAGCCTGATCCATCTAGAAGGGAAACAATTTAGTTTAGCAGCAGGGGAATCAGGAGAGACTAGCCAGACCTAACATCCAAGAATGAACTCTCATGTGGATATTCCATGACTCTGCACTGATCTCATACCAAATCATCTGCTGGCAGCATCCAGCTAAGTAAAACCTATATTCTAATTGCTAGGTATAAAACAAATGGAAAACCAGTTATTGAACAAAATACACCAAAATATGTCAGCACTGAACAAAACTTGTAAAGATTATAGCCCGAAATCATATAGCACATTGCACTGGTATGCTGCAGGTGTATCAGCACTGACTTAGCAGTGGGTTCCAAGGCATTGAGTGGGGCTTTCTTCAAAGTAAACATGCAAGATCAGGTTTCAGTTCAAAGCATGCACAATCAGGAAAATAATACAATTGATTAATTTACTGTTCTTGCAATTTTTGTTTTCTACTTTGTTTATGTAACCTTTTGGAAGCCAGCATCATTTAAGTAGGTGGTGACAAATGCAATATAAAGGTTATTTCTCTTCTTTGTCTTCTGCTTAATACATGAGGCTCATGTCTACCTAATATATCAGCCAGACATTCACAAAGCAATTTGTAACTGGATGCAATGCTTTCCAGTTAACAAACCTCTAGCAGAAATCTCCTTTGTTTCTTTATAAGCAGAGTTCCTATTGCTATTTTTGAAATCCAGGTTTTTTTATTTCTTGTTGTGCTTTTGAAGTAAGAACCATCCCCAGGAAACTCGAGGTCTTCATTTTAAATGTGTTACTGTGCCCTTCAGCTTGCTAATTCTCTTAAGATCCTAGGAAGCTGTAAACAAGATGGGGATTTAAATTCTGCTCTCCTGCTTTATTTATTAAGGATTTGGGCAAAATCTCATGTAGCAGAAAACTGAGTCAATGGGGAAAAGAATTTGAGAGGAAAGTGTATTTTAATTCAGTCTCTCCTGACTGAACAAAACATCTGTATCAGAACTGAGAAGAATGTCTTTGTAGCCAAGCCCCTTACTGTGCTTGCTTCCTGCTATTTAGGTATATTTTAATTAATTTGTGTGAGTAATAATTAGTTTAGCTTCAAGAACTTTGTGCTGAAAGACATCACCAAAAAATGAACTGAGGAGTATACTGAAGAAAATGAGGTTGCAATGCTTTGCTCACTTACTTGGGAGTAAGTTCCATTGAATTAAATGGGACTTGCAGCCAAGTAAATATGAATAGACTCACTCCGCTTCTTGTATCTCTCTTCTCCCAGAAAGGAAAAACTAGAAGCAGAATCTTGAGATAATTTGAATTTTCTGTTGCAATTGTCAGCAGTTGCATTAAAAATAATCACCAAGCACTGAAATTGAACTTGTACCTCTATTTAACTTTCCCACAATATTTAGGGAAGCATTTTTGTTGTTTCTTTCGGAAAAGATTTAAAATCTGCTGTAAACAAACAGTAAACCAAAAAAGTAGATCTATGCCTTTGACTGCAGGTTGAGCAGAAAAACAGATGATATTTGAGTCCCAAAAATCTAAATGAATTTCTGCTTATTTATTTATTTAGGAGACTTCTATGCCGCCCCATTCGCCGAAGCCTTGGGGCGGCTCACATCCATAGTCAAACATAATTTTAATGCTTAGTCAAACATAATTTTAAAAAACACACACAATGAACCACTTTTCCTTAGAATGGCAGAATCTATTACACTGGTTTAGAAAGAAATAAATAGGAACCAGCTGAATGCTACAATCCAAGATGCTAGATTTCTTTTGGGGTAAACTGTTTTTGGTTTTTGAAAATAAAGGAAGAGAAAGTTACTGGCCGTTTTGTTCTCTTGTTAAGTACAGCAGAAATGCACTCCAGCCAGCAGGGTAAGAGCTGATTTTAGTACCTTTGGCCTAAAGGCAGTAAGCCAATCAATACGTGTTGCAAGTTGACAATGGAAGCTGAAGAATAGATGGAGGCTTGTGAGCCTGACATTCAGCTAAGGGCTAGGAAGCAACTCAGTTCTCATGCTTCGTGGTGTGTATTTGATGCATCTAATGCAATGCAATGTGTTTGTCTAAATTGTGTCTTTCTCTATATGTATAAACAAACAGATGCAGATAGAGCTCAAAAGCATGGCATGGATGAATTTATCTCTTCCAATCCCTGTAACTTTGACCACGCTGCACTCTTTGAGATGCTTCAGCGCCTCACTTTGGACCACAGGCTTAATGATTCCTATTCGTGTCTGGCAAGTATATTCTTTGCTCTATGCAATATAAATGTCTGGCACCAAAATCTGATCTGGTGAAAGTGTGCCAGGCCACTTCGATTAGCAGAAGTAGTGCCTGCTTACTCCAGGTCTGCGTTTGGCCCTGAGAGATACTGTGTTTGAGAAACATCCCGTGTTGATGTGCTATCTAGCCTAGCAACAGTACCATGCAGTGCAGAGATTCGTGCTCCCTTGACTATGTGCTGTTAACATGGAAATATGATCAGGCAAGAAGAAGGCATGTCACTCATATACCAGTGTCCACATTTGCCTCTGATGGTATCTACCATCCTAGCAGAGCGGCATCATGAAAAAAAATGGCCATTGGAAATGTGTGTGACAGGAAGGATCCCATAGAAACTTAGCATTTCTGTTTGGTAAGTACGAAGATGCCAAATATTGAGTTAGAGCCTCCAGAATATTACATGTGTATCCTATTAAAGGCAATTTTATATTTCTCATGCTGTGAGAAATGATGGCAGAATTACAGTTCTCACATACCACACTGGGCCTTGGTTCAAATGTGTTAAAAACTTTTTGGTCAACTTTCTTTGGGAAATGATTCAGTTTCAGATTTTAAATTATTACTATTAAAATGTTAATTCTTCAGGACAAGACTGAAACCTTAAACCCTCTATTTAGGGAAAGAGTTCTGCTGAATGCAGGGTGACTTTCCTTTGCGGAAACATCCACAGGATTGTGCTGTTTGAGTGCAATCCTTTATATGGTTACTTGGAAGAAAATCTCCAAAAATCTCTTCTTACTGAATATTTTTTCCTAACTAATGTGTAACATTACAACCTGTTTTGTTTTTAATAGTGTGAGTTAATTTGTGTAATAATGCTAATGAAATTATTGCCATTTAAAAGTACATTTTTCTTCTGTAAGTATATCAAGTCATAGCTAAACAAAAGTGAATATGTTTACTTCTTCACAACTTAATTTGGACTTGCGCTTACCAGGAGCTCATCTTGTAACCAGCTTTGCCCAGAGGGGCCTGGACAATAGATGCCTCATCTTAAGACCAAAGAGTGCAGGGCAAGCCTGGAAAGGATTTCCTGTGCTTTCCAACAAGTATTGACAAAAGCTACTGAGGGTGGAGGTAGTGTACAGGCAGATGTCAAGGACTGCAGATGTCAAGGAGAATTGGTGACCACGTTTTGGAGTAAGTCATACACATTCCAGTCTAAAGCGGGTGCTGGGAACATGATGCCCTGCACATGTTAGAGAACTAAACTCCCAGCAGCTCTAGCCAGCTTAGGCGATGGAGTAGAATGATGGGAGATGCAGTCCAACTACATCTGCATGGTCACATGTTGCTCTAAAAGGCATGAGACCAGACTTAAAAGTTAACTAATTGTTCCAGTACAGGTGTGGAGGGAATTATTATTATTATTATTATTATTATTATTATTATTATTATTATTATTATTAGGTTCAGTAATTTGACTATGTATGGGTAGTCTTTCTCCTTTTCTCCTGCTCCCCTATTGCCAGACAGGATGATATATGTAGCTTAATGTGGGTTACTGTCAAGTTGGATAATGTTTCATTGGAAAGATGGCCTGGGGAGCAGGGTTAACCTCTCTGCTCCTGGTTTCACACTGGTTTGACCCTTAGAAAGTCAATGTGGGTGATTTTCTACTGATTAGCACAACTTGCATGTTAGGCCTGTGATTTTTCACTGATGTTTCTCAGCACTATCACAGATCATTTGACAGAAGAAAATGATGAGGAACCAATAGAATACAATACTAATTAGGAAAACTGATATCCCAACTTTCACCAATGACTTTTAAAACAAGAATTATGTCACAAAATTCAAAATTTTGTTTTGAGTTACCCATTCAAAATACAGAACAATAAAGATGTACCTTAATTGTAATAAGATAGAAACAATGAGCAGAAAAAATGTTCTGTAATAATTAGAGTCCTGTACTGAAACTCAAGAGATCTGCATTCTAGTCCCCAGTTTGCTATGAAGATGGTCTAGACAAGTCCCTGACTCTCACCCCAGGCCACCTCACAGTGTTGTTGTAAGGATAAAATGGAGAAGAGAAGGAAGACAATTTAAGCCACTTGGGTGTTCTACAAGAGGGGGAAAGGGATGTAAGAGACATAAATAAATAGACAAAAAGCAGAAACAGCCAAGACACCAGCAAATACAAACTTAATTAAATGCTGAAGAGAAGAGAATTCTCGCCACCTGCTTCTTAAAGTTCTTAAAGAATGGCTTGACCCCTACGTGGATAGTGAAAACCTGTATCTTTAATTTGTTTGCTACCTGATTTATTTATTTAGAAGTTTTATGGACAGCTTTTAAGACTAAAAAGCAGCTTCCAGTATAAATACAAATTACTAACAATTTGGAATATTAATAATAAGAACTGACAACAATAATTTGGAAGCACATCCAAATTCAGGAGCACATCCAGCACAGTAAGATAGCAACAAAAACTAATACATCTAAGCAGATAGCCAAGCAAAGCTGTATTATGAAGAAGCCACAGAAAATAAATGAATGCTTAAGTCCTGGAGGTAAACTAAAAGCCAGAGCAGGGTGAAGTTTTTCCCTCTTTTTCCCTTTCTTTTTTCCCTTCTCTTTTTGATACCTGCAAAATATGTTACAACTGGTCAGTTTAAGTCAATATTCTTGAAGTCATTTTAACATAACAAGAGTCATGCTAGGTAGGGCCATCTATATTTAACCCTAACATTTGCAAAACTGGATGGCTGCCTAGTTTTGGGTGTCATGAAAGGGCAGCAAATTGTTGGTGTTTATTGCCGTCACACTGGCATTCCCAGGAAAAGGCATTCGTGTCTCTTTTCCATCTCAAATCCCATGTAACTTCCTCAGCTATGGGTACTATCCTCTTTTGGCATTTTTGGTGATAAATGCCTTCTTTTTTGGAGTGGCCACCCTAGCAGCTGCCAGACCTCAATCATGGTGCACTGCTGTCCCCTGCCCTGGGCCCTCCTTAAAAAGAAAATAAAAATAATCTCCAGCTCAGGGCAGGCGATAGACTGGGAAAGGCAATGGATCCCATTCCTCCTGCTGCTGGGGGCGTCCCTGTGACCACAATCATCCAGCCATGCTCCCCACCACCCCCACAAGAGGAGAATGGCAGGCAAGAAGAGAATGGCACCACCCCCACAACGTTCAACCACGAGAGGAGAATGGCAGGCGAGCAGGTCTCCTTGCAGGAGGAAGAGTCACCCCTCCTCTCTCCCTCTGAGCCCTCTTCCAAAGCAAGGTGTCAGGTGGCTGGCCTCTCCAGAAGGCCAACCCACCCAATTTTCACTCTGGGAGAATCTCCCAAATGGGAGAAGGGTTCGGCAGCCTCTGTGAGAGGTCCTTCCTCAAAAAAGGGCATCTTCAGTCTTCCTGGGAGTAAAACTACAGCACATCAATGGCTTATCATAATTTGGGTGGAGCAAAGGAACAGCCTTCTTTATTAAAAAGCTTCCTTCACTGTATATCTTAAGTTAATTCCTGTTCACCATATGTAGCAAGATTAGCATGTATTTGCCACCTTTGACTGAGGGCCATGGATTTCTTCTAACTCGTATTGTACTATTTGAAAGAGGTGATTTGCTCTGTGAACAATGTATAAAGTAAAATTGTGTGTATATGTTTTTTATTTGTAGTAGTTAAAGAACATCACATGAAATCTTTGCTTTGGAACTGGTTCTCTAGGGTTTGTTCATAAATTGTGCTGTAATCCTTCCAGCAAAATGAAGGCATATGAATAACAATCTGTATGTATCTTACCACAAATTGGACTGTGTTTATCAGTGCATATTATTTTATTTTCACTTTTATTTATTTTAGGTATCTCTTTTCATGCATGAGGCAGAGTTTCTCCTTCTATCAGATCCTACAGCATGGGTTTATTTGTATGTGGATAATATATCAGGGAATCATCTTTCCACACACAAGAGAGTCGTAGACACAAAGGCTCAGTGTAGGACAATGAAAGTGGTGCTATCTGCACATGTGTCACTGGGAGGGAAAAATGCCTGAATGTGTGCATATACCATACAAGAGTCAGCAAAACTAGGTATCTACATTGCCTATGTCTGGCCAGGCCTCTAACCAGCCCTGGTGTCCATACTGAGTGGTGGTAGATCTCCAGGGTGGTAGGCATGAGCTTTTCTAGTTCTGCTAGGAAAAGCCATGGAAGGAGACTGGGGCCGTTTTCATGGAAAGCAGCTGCTCTGCTGCTGAGCCATGGGCCCCAGTTTCCATTCACTATTTTCTTCATTTCAAGCAAGGGGTAGGCGAGGGTATAGAGGCTTTCATGCTTTGACTGCAGAGTTGTTTCCTTCAAAAAGTAGCATAGATTTTATATTTTATCATTTAAACAATAGCACTAAAGAAAACTACCTTATATTCTTGTTCCACAATATGTAGAATAATTTAAAAACTTAAGCTCAGTAAATAGAAGTTGGGCCCATTTCTTTCTCTATGTGTGTGTCTCTCTCTGTGCGTGTGTGCGTGTGCATGCGTGCATGCGTGTGCACCCGTGCATGCAAGAGAGAGAGAGAGAGAGACGTGCTAATTCCAGACTAAAGCTTTCAGGCCAAGTTCTCTGTTTGCTGGGCTTTATGCTACAGTTGACACACTAAGGTTTTCCATGCCACAATTATGATCGACCTACCAACTAAGATTTGATATCTCAAGCCAATTTTCATGCTACAAATAAGATCTAAACACTAAACTAGTGAACAGGTGATCACAGCCCTGACTGGCCACCTATTCTGGTAAACTCAGTGGGAAGGCTCCAGTGGGACTGTTATGTCTCTGCCTGTTCGTTTCTGCAGTTAGTCATTCCACCAGTTCCATTGCAGAAACAGAACCTACTACTCACAAAAAGGAGAGCTAGCGGTTCCTGGGAAAATACCCCAAACAAGCAGAAACACTTGTTTCTGGAAGAAGGCAAAGTGGTGAAACCCCTTGTGTGCGTTCCACTGCCTCC